GTTCATTAAGAGCCCCAACAATGGTTCTGATGGGCCTCAGAGTAGCAATTCCAAGTGGATTCCTAATGATGAGAAAAATGCATCTGGAAATGGAAACAGTCATGGAAATCCGGATCTCAATGTTGGTGATGTAAGCAGAATGCCTTTCCTGCGTTTGTATTTTCTTTTTATATTTTTGTTGCATTTCAGTTGCTTATTTGCATGGCTGATAGGAAACAACCTGAGAATTTTTCTTGTGTTCTGTAAATATGGTTTGCCTTTTTCTTGATTCAATTTTGAACGGATGAATGCCTCAATTGGCTTGGAGCAAATTTATCTATCTAGCATTGTAATGCTGGCTATAACCTTAGCAACGTAAGATATATTAAGTCTAGACCTGGCAAAAATTCACCCGACCCGTCAACTCGACCTTAACCCGACCCTTAAAAAACGGGTTAGGGTCTACATATCTCAACCCGCAACCCGTAGATAACCCGTATTGTCAACTCGTACATGTCACGGGTCGGGTTAGGGTCAACCCGCGGGTTGACGGGTTGACCCGTTTGTTTTATTTTTTTTTATTATTTTTAAATATTATACTTATCATCCCTAATTAATTTTTCTATTGATAACTCCTTCCATTAATTCATACTCTCTAATTTTTAAGAAAGAAGAAGAAATTATGATAATTTTGATCTACTCAAATATTTTTTTTTTTTTGTATTAACAATTACCCAAGTATCATGAATGAAATGATAATGCAACTAAAAATATTAAAAGATATGATGTTAGGACATAAACATCATAACTTAGTGAAAGATGTTCTTAAAAGAGCAATTTCATCATTAAAAAAATAGTTTAAACTACTTAATAATGTTTCAAGATGATTATAAAATTAAAACTTTATTTTTCAAGAAATTTAAATATTTTACGTTTGATATTTGGCCAAAGTCCCTATTTGCACCCTCTATTTATTTCTTTTTCACGGTCAACACCTTCCGGAATTTTTCCTCCCTATTCACACCTTCTATTTTTCAAAATCCGAGAAAAACCCAATATTTTAACGGACCGTCACGGCACCGTTAAAAAATGCACTACGTGGCACCCAGAAATTGATGTGGCACATGCGACGTTTCTTTATACGTTAGTTTCAAATGTGGATTATTTTTTTTATGACGTGGCTTTTTTTGTTGCACACGCGGACACCACATGTGCAGTGGGACCCATTGCACGGTTTCCCTTGTCCCCTACGTCCCCCAAAAAAAAAAAAATTTTTTCCGGAACCCAGATCGGGTTCCTCACCAGGAACCCAGAGGGTTCCTCATGGGTTCCTCGTCGAACCCAGATCGGGTTCCTTGGCTCTAGGTTCGGGAACCCAGCTTGGGTTCTCGAACCCAAAGCTCCTGTTCTAAATTTTTTTTTATTTTTTTATTTAAATAAGTCACATCATCAAAGAAAAGCATCCACATTGGATTATTAACGGCACATAGTGGCCACGTCGATTTTTGAGTGCCACGTAGTACATTTTGTAACGGTACCGTGACGTCGCGTTAAAATATTGGGTTTTTTACGGGTTTTGAAAAGTTAAGAGTGTGAATAGGGAGGAAAAATTCCGGAAGGTGTTGACCGTGAAAAAGAAATAAATGGAGGGTGTAAATAGGGGCTTTGGCCTTGATATTTTTATTATTAATCAATTTATTATTATTAATAACCTTCTTATTTTTTTCTTAATTTAAATATTTGTAATTGAAATTATAAAGTATT